TACTGTACCATGTAGCCGAAGACTCGAAGTAATTTTGTGCTGCCCCTTTTTCGTGTCCACAGCAAGTTCGGTGATGCGTTGTTGGGAAGTGATGACGAGGACAGCAAATTGTGCAGGTGGACTGCATGCGTCATCGCGTCTGGCCACAAAGTGTTGGGCAATCTCATCCCCAGGAGCAGCTTTCGCATCGTCGTCTGCAAGGTCCGGTTCATCCTTTCTGCGACCCCCTGCTGTTGGTGATCATAGGGCAGGGACACCAGGCGTCTGATGCCTCTTTCTGCCAAGTAGTTCCTGAATCGTTGTGACTGGTACTCCAGTGCTCCGTCTGACTGGAAGCTCTTGAGTGGCGAGCCCGATTCTCGTTCGGCGATGGGCAGCCATGACGTGAAGGCTTCGAACGCTTGATCTCGTAACTTGAGGTTGTAGTGCTAGATGTATCGTGTTGCTGCATCGATGAACGTTATAACATAGTTGTATTCTGCTTCACTGTCGTCTCGAGGCATATTTAAGATTTTGCTGTAGACTTTTTCCATCGGTTCGTATGCAGGTGCGCTTGGATTGTGGTGCGACGTAAAAGGTTGGTGGGGAAGATCGGCTTCGGGGCACGTAAAGCATCGTGCGCGGGGTCATCGAAGTTCTTGGCCACTCGTTGTAAGAAGGGCGTTAAATTCTAACACTTCGGCTTGTATGGTTTGTAGCACTGTGCTGTTTGCAGGGTGCCCGAGGCGTTGATGTCAGATGTCGTCGGGAGCGCGATGGCCGGGTGAGCGTTGGTACATGTCGACGTTGGAGAAGAACGCGGCGACCGTGGTGGGACTTCGGCAGACTTCTCGGGTGATGGGCATAAGTTGATCTGCTTTGGTTGGCGGTCCTCGGATTGTTGGTGATGGTACACGGCTGGGTCCTGCTGCTGCTACTGCAGGTGATGTCGGGGAAGGGACGCTTGCTGGTACTTGTCTTTCTTGTCGGATGACTGCTAACGCTCGTGTTCTCTCTGCTACAGGTATGGTGTTGGAGTACCAGAATCCATATGGGGTAAAGTCGGGGTCAAGATCCGGCGGGTGCGTCCAGGCGGCGAACGACACGATGCCATCGCTGTCGGCAGTACCGCGGTCGGGGACGAAATCCAACACGAAGACACCCGACTTCAGGAGAGCGCGACTGATGAAAAGGCCGCCTTTCCCGTGCTAAAGACGAAATTCGTTGGCATCCGAGTCGCATTCCAGGTGAATCCCTTTTTCCATTAGCTGTCTGACGCTTAGCAGATTGTATCCCAAGTTGTCGACGATTAGAACCTTGTTGAGTTGCAGTATGACATTTGTCTCCATGGACTGCAACTGAACCACTCCTTGTCTATTTGTTTTCAGGTTCTCGTTATTGGCGACGGTGATGATGACATCGCGGTTGAGGCGTCGCTCTCGTTGCACGAAGCGTCCGGAAGAACACATGTGTTGGCCGCAACAGATGTCCAAGAACCAGGTGTTTCGCCCGGTGGGTTCGGCGCAGGAGCCCGAAACTCCATCTGTACGCGACGCGTAGTGGTCCACTGTCCCCCCCCCCCCCTAAGGCGATACCGTGCGGGCCCGTCGCGGTATGGCCCGCATGGCTATGGAGATGCTCATCGGGTACGCGCGGAGCCTAGCGTTGGCTCTGCAGGACCTGGGTATTTTATTCGACATCCGATACCCTTTGGCATGTGAGCGGCTGGAGCGAGCGTCACTGCCGCTCGACATGGCCTCCACTCGCGCGCTCATAGACGAGGCGTACCGTAAGCAAGTGCTCCAAGCCACTGCTGCGATGACCGGCTTCCCCGACTTTGAGGAGTGGATGACGTTTGGCGGCTCCCACGTTGCGGGAGAGGCGCCGTCATCTGCGGGGTGGTTGACAATAGCCACTCATGAAGGAGGGATCTACAGTAAGTTCCTGTGTGGGTATCATGGTCGACTGCTCATCAACGTGTGCTGAGAGTTGCAATGTGCCTTGTGTGTGCGTAGAGTTTTGTTATTGCCGGCCTTCGTTATGTGTAGCTTAGCGTTTTCTGTGTGTGGTTTGTGGAACCCACAATTTATCTATCCGTTTCAGTTTGTCGTTTGTCGAGTTTGCTTTTTAACGATCCGTTTGCTGCACGTGATGAAACATGTGGAGCTATTCATGATGCAACAACCCATTAAGAGACGACACACCTTGCGACCACCGGGCGACGTGCCTATGTGGACGGCGTCGCAACAAACGGCATCGTCCCCGCCCCTGCCAGCTGCGCATAGGACAAAGCTCCTACCTTCTTGGAAACGCTACACGCAATTTTGCCCGGGGCATACCGCCCTATTTGTTGTTAAGTGCCTCATTCCTACATTCTTGGATTCTGCACTTCGGTAATACGATCTGTACTGTACTCCCTGCACGTTGATACTGTACTGCCTGCTCGCCACTGGCCTACGTGGCAGAAAGCGCGGCGGGACTGTCTAGAGCAAAGTCTCGCGTGTGTGCGCGGAAGGAGGGGGCAGCGTATTTGGCAAAAGCTTTGTAGTGTTTCGATTTTAATCAGCTGATCCTTGTACAATAGAAAAGGGCTTACACGATGAACGCTCTCCAAGGGGGGTGGGTCTTATAGTCAAATAATGTGCATAAGCCGGATGGGTGCCTATGCGCATTGCGTCGCGAGGCCCGACGACGTGACAGCCAACCGCGCCGAGCCCGAACAAGCACGATATGCAGTGCTGTAAGAATACTAAGGTCGGGCACGGGTATCAAGCGCGCAATTCCTGATACCTGTAAAGTAGGAATACGCTCTAACTGTCCGATAACAAATTCCCACCGAAGTTGGGTTCGCGATTCCAGACGCGTTGTCAAGCAAGGAAAGCTGGGCACGAGCTGTCACTCAAACTCACAAAAAACGCCTGTCGAACTGCCCAACATTTGTGTCACATCCACTGTCGAGATGGTTTCCAAGCGGTTTGCATTGGCGTGACTTTTTGGTGTCAACAACTAGCAGCATGTTATAGTCGCACACCGTACGTTTTTTTTTTTTTTTTTTTTTTTTTTTTTTTTTCCGTGCCTTTGCGAGTCTCACAACCAATGACGTTCTCATGCGAGGCCATCTCATAACGAGGGTCGCCAGAACTTGTTGTTGCATTACGCAGATCCGAATTCGGTGGGTCTAGATCCAACTTTGAGTAGATCCAACTTCGTAAGAATTTGCCGTTAAGCAAGCTTCTCAATGTACAAGGTGTTCCCAACAAATGGATGGTGGCATTATTGTAGGGATAAGTTCAGAACCGCATGCACCATGCCCTTATTTGCATAACGTAGATGCAGATAGCATTGTTGGGGATGTGATTTTGGAGCTAAGACTCCAAGCTAGTTGGATCAAGCTATGTGTTACCGTTGCCAAGTATCTCGTTAGTGTAATGAATTATTAAATTCCTTAATGAGGCTGACTACAAGACGTACGACTCAAACAGTCCCGAAGCAGCGTTAGGCTTCCAGGCTCTATTCGAGCTCCTGTGCCTTTCCGGACCTCGCTACGTCAGGGAAACACCCTCCTCGCTTCCCTCCCTGACAAATCTGACACAAACTTGACGCAATGCTGACGCTCGCTCAATCTCAGAGTTCACCTTGCGTATGGCGTTACATCAACCGCAAGGGTAAACTAGGCCCCCACACTCCAAAAATACAACCACCACCAACTTTACCCACCTCGCGAACTTGGGCCTGCCCTGCAAAAAAAATAGCAGCTGAACTAACCATCGCCAAAGAGAGTCGTCTAGAGGGCATCTCAACAAGCCCTAGGTTCTTTTTTCGTCATTTTGCCCGGAATATTTCTCGACTGCCCTTGGGCAGCAGGTTTTTGTTGTGCAATTTTGAAATTCTCTCCTCTCTCCTTTCACTTGCGCTTTCAACAATTTGGCCGCGTGGCTTCCAAGCGAGGTTGGGAAAGTGCACCTGGTTTGGGTGGTAACCAGTGCTCTCGAAGTCGCTTGAGGAGCTTCCTCAATGCCGACATCAATGTCAAATGCCTGCACAACTCAGCCGCTGTCGGCCGACTTTTCTGAACCGATGTGCCTACCTCACCACGTTGGTCTTACCTGATTGGTTGCTGCTTGCGTTTGTCTCCCTCCCCCCCACCACCCCAGGGGCCCCACACCTAATTTCCGGCTGGGAAATTATCAGAAAGGACCCTCGCTCTGCCAGGGTGTGAGCGTAAAAGGTCCGTCAACCTCCGAACCTGAAGTACACTCTGTTTTATTTTGAGTACTTATTAGTAAACGTTTATCGACGAGAAAGGCAAAAAACATAAAAAGCCATTTGGGACCGAATTCCGTTCGAGATGGCATCAACCCAAAACACGCAGCTCTTTTGCGATTTTAGGGTTGATGCCACCGGAGTCGCATGTGGAGGGCCCTAAGGGAATTAGTTTTTTTTTTTTTAATGCCCAAAACACTGCTCGTGTAAATGTCCGACCTCACAGGGACACGATACGACGCGCCCCACAAAACTGAGCTGTTTCGCCGAGCCAAAAATAGTTACGTGTTGTACGATGAAGACGATGTATCTCAGGTTCGGCGACAAGGTCTCGGGGCAGAAAGCTGCCGGACCTTTTTGCTCACACCTCTGGCGGGCGAGGACCCTTTTTGATCATTTCCCTTCCCGGCCTCCCCCCGCGCCCCGATAAGCAGCCGCAGAATCCCAACCTCTTCCTCAGCCAGCCTTGTCACCCCGTTACGCTTCCCCCCGCACCGAGTGACAGATGCTTGAGCAGTGAGGTGGTAACCAGCGAAGTGCTGGCCCGTTGTGAGAGCTCTTCAGCGAGACTTAGCGAAAATGCGAGAAAGGGGCTGATAGCCGCCGCCTGGCGCCTCGACTGATTCCCCCGTTTCATCTCTCCCAGCTACATCAGGTCTGGCTGTAAAAGTAGACACGCGTTCGCAGTTGGGTGGCGGCATCAGCTCGGTTCAGCCCAGATCAGTTGTGCTGCCTTGCGTTGCGTTCAGAATCCGAATTGTTCAACTGCTGAAATTCTCAAGCCGCACCTTATTCTCCGAGGTGCCTTATCTGCGGTTTGCTCCACGTACCAAGCTCTGCTTGGATTCCGCGCAGTATTGTTGCTTGCGCACTCGCAAGCCAATCTTAGCCACCTCAGTAACGCGTGCCTGTAACATTCTCTGAAACCACCATTCCGAGGCGCTCCTAGCGTTTTTCCTCGACCCCGCAGCTTTCAAACCTACCGCCAGTCATGACGGCCGCGCCAAATGCCTCCTCGCCGTCGCGCTGCTCCTCTCATCACGTGGCAATGCCTCGCCGTCAAATGACGTAAGTCACGTCACGCCATCCCGCTTTCCTGCCTGAATCAGGTTTTAACCCTGATTTTCCGAGTATTTTCAGGAGAGCCTAGTATTTTCCAAGTCCTACTGCTCTCATTCACCGCATAATGCGACCCTCGTCACCCCCCCTCCCCACCCCCTTGGCCACCCCTCGCTCCCTTCCGCTTTTCCCCATGCGTACGCACGCTCGCAGCGCCCGCCCCCCAGTCCACGTCACTCTACATCGTGCGCCTGCGCTCCGCCCTTCCGCTCGCCGCATATCGTGGCGGCATCGCGAGCTTCTCAGGATGGACGGAAGCGACGACGACGATCATGCCACCGTCAGCTCTGCCGGTCCGTCAGGCCTGCGGGCGACGGACGCGACGGTGGCGTACGAGACGGCGGCGCTGGGCGGCAGCGTTCCGCGGCGCGCGCGGCTGAGTTTGGAAAATCCGCAGCTCAAGGCATACGCGGCCATGCTCGAGACGCAGCAGACGCGGGTCGCGTCTGACGTGGGCGTCGCGGCAGACAGCGTCGTGTACAGGTACGAGGGAGGAGTGAGAACCATGTCAGCACTGCAATGCGAGGAAGGGGGGAGGGGGGGGGGGGGGGGAGGTGTGGGGGCGTTTTGAAGCTACTATCCGCGCGCGCGCTTGAGAGCTGCTGGCACGAGTTTGAGGAGTCCGCATTCAGCATCATGCCATCCTTGGCTCCCCTGCCGCATCGCCTATTGCATCCTCACCCCCATCCTCACCCCATCCTCACCCCAATCCTCGCCCCATCCCTCACCCGCCATACCCAATTTAACGGCCCATTGACTTCCCCATCCTCAAGCCTTCTGCATCACCTGCCCCTAACGCCCCCCCTCAAGCCCTCGAGATGTAAGCGTTGGAAATTCAGCCCCATCCCATGGCTCCCCTCTGGCATTGTCTCTTGCATCCATTCACAAGCGCCCCCTTGCCCTCCCCATCCCCATGCCTTCCCCTCATCTCCCCCAACCTCCCCCTCCTCCCCCCCTCCCCCCTTCCCAGCTACAAGCACGCGAGCCACGGGTTCGCAGCAACCCTGTCTCTGCAGCAGGTGCGGCGCCTGCAACGGCACGCAGCCGTGGCGGCGGTGGAGCGCAGCCACACCGTGCGCGCCGCTCACCATCGACTCGCCCACCTTCCTCGGCAATGCGCGCCGCCCGGCTCCCTGTGGCCTGCGAATGGCGGGCAGGCGAAGGCGGCGAGGGTATGGTGATCGGCATCGTGGACACGGGCATCTGGCCCGAGCACCCGTCTTTTAGTGCCACGGGCTTTTCCTCTGCCCGCCCCGCGGGTTGGTCGGGGAAGTGCGACACGACGAGCGAGTTCAAGTGACAACAAGAATCATCGGCGCACGGGCGTTCTACAAGGCGTTCAAGAAAGCAAACGGCATGCCGGATCTAACCTCGGACTGGCTGTCACCACGGGATTCCGCCGCCATGGCTCGTGGTGTGCCAGGTGCGTGGCTCTAGCTCCTGCAAAGAACCGGCCACTTTCCGCTTTGCAAATCTGCCCCTATCCGATCCGTCTCATGTATGTGCCGCTATTCGCGTCCGGGCTTCCATGTTCAGCTGTCCACGGCCCGTAGCAGCAGACCATCCAGCATCCCCTCTCACACCCCACCTATCCCTCCCTTCCCCTCTTCCCCCCCCGCCCCCCCCAATTCCTTCCTCCCCCCATATCTTCCCCCTCATATAGCAGCAACGAGCAACAAGGAGCTACAGCAACCCCTCTCGCACCCCATGCCCTCCCTCCCTACCCCCTCCCGCCCATCCCCCCTTACAGCGCAGCAGCGGGCAACAAGGACATTCCGATGGAGGGCGCAAAAGCCAGCGGCATGGCGCCAGCAGCGCGCGTGGCGATGTACAAGGTGTTTTGGGTGTCCAAGGGCCAGATGTTCGCGGAGAGGGCGCCGACATCGTGGCCGCGGTGAACCAGGCTGTAGCGGACGGCGTGGATGTGATCTCGCTGTCGGCTGGGCGGCATGGACCCCGCGGACACCTACTTCAGCCACATGCCGTACCTTGCTGCTAACCTGGTGCGTGTGCTGTGCCGACCTGGTGTCTGGCTGCTGCTGGTTATTCTTGGCTGGGCACTCTCTGTGTGTGCACCGGGTGCGTGTGCTGCCAGCTGTGCTCCGCCCAATCTTTGTCGGCTCTTGTTGTCGTCTTCCGCCCGCCTGCTGCGAAACCGGCGTCCGGTCAATTCCCAGCGTCTCTCCACCCATCCACCAGGCTCTCGAGTCTCGTCACACCTCTCCCCCCCTCTGCTACCCGTGTGTCTCCCCTCCCCTCCCTGGCGGTGCAGGCGGGGGTGTTTGTGACATATGCAGCGGGGAACTCGGGGTCACCTGGCAGCGGGGGCTCAAACGACTACCGCTCGCTCGACAACTTTCTCGCCCTTCTCACTCACCGTCGGCGCCAGGTGGGGCATCGTATCGTACCCTCCCATGCCACAAACGGGTGCAATCTCACCCTCCCATGCCACAAATGGGTGCAATCTCATCCTCCGGTGCCACAAACGGGTGCAATCTCACCCTCCCATGCCACAAACGGATGCAATCTCACCCTCCCATGCCAGTAACAGATGCATCTTGATTCGCTTGCACACCCTTTCCTCCTCTCTCCCCTCTCTCTCTCGCCATATCTGCCCCTCTCATCATCCCTGCCCCTCTCATCATCCCTTCGTCTCTCCTTTCATGCCCCCTGTCTTTCCACCCCACGATCCCAACCGTGCAGCTCCATTGCCCGTGGCGGTGTAACCCTAAAGGCCACAGCAAGCAGCAGCCACAGCTCTCGGCAACTCATCCACTGCCACCCCTGCAGCCACCCCTGTCCCCTGGATTGCCGATTTCTCCTCCACCGGACCCGTCCAGGACCCCTCCACCGACGCCACCAGCGCCCTGCCCACCAAACAGCATCTTAAAGCCCGACATCATCGGCCCGGGAGTATCCCTGTACGCAGCGTGGCCGGCACGAGCGTGGGCGACAAGGGGACGGATGCGCAGCTGTCAGGGACGTCGATGGCGACGCCTCACCTGGCGGGCATTGCTGCTCTCATCATGCAGAAGTACCCCTCGTGGAGCCCCGCGCAGGTCATGTCCGCCATTATGACAACTGCCAGGACCACCGATACCAGTGGGGCTCCTATTCAGACTGCGTACGGAGAGGCCGCTACTCCATGGGACATGGGCGCCGGCCATGTGCTCCCTGCAAAGGTGCTGGGATCCTGGGCTTACCTACGATGCACGGGCAGCGGCTTACCGGAATTTCCTTGCTGGGCAGAGTCTGAAGCGTGCGCAGAAAGAGTTTCCGAGCGCTAAGCTTATGAAGACAGCTCCCCGCATGCTGAACCGGCCAAGCATCTCAATCTCGCGACTGAAAGGGACGCTTACTGCAACCAGGATGGTTACAAGCGTTGCAGCCTCAAAAAGCACGTACACAGCAAATATCAAACCCCCTACTGGCGTGTCAGTTACTGTGTCACCAACCAGCTTCACCATTTCTCCTGGTGAAAAGCTTACATATACTGTGACCTTCACGGTAACCAAGATATCCGAATACTTCCAGTTTGGAAGCCTAACTTGGGTGGATGATACGGGACACTCGGTAAGATCGGTGCTTGCAATTCAGCCGGTCATGAAGTAACGAGTGTGTGCACTAAATAATAGTAGCATCAGCCGCATCCTGTGCGCCAATGCTGTTATACGATTTGACATCTTATTCAGTGGATGAAGCGGTCGGGGTTGTGTGGTGTGATGTTTGCTGGGTTGCTTCTTTAGCATAGCATAGTTGGTTGCTTGATAATAATGCTCTTGCATAAACATCTATGCATTCTAATGTTTCTCCATGTTATTTGATTATTGGACTTCACCATAAGTTTCACTTAGTTTCCCGCGTCGTCTCTCCGCAACGCATCTCGCCCAACAAGTCAACCAGGCGACATGCGCCTCGACACCACAATTATTGGAATCCAGGGGCGAATTTTGCTTGTCGTCCTCCCATCACAAGTAACGCCTCCCCAGGTTTTTCGAATCCCTCCCGTCAGCAGCAGCAGCAACCTGCTCAAAAACCGCGCCGCTAGTATCCTGCCCTGCAGGTGGTGCAGCCCACACCACACCTCACCCAATTCACCCCACAATTATTGTTGCGTTCTCTTCGTGCAGCGTATCTGCCAGAGAGATGGCCGCGCTGCGCGGCCCCATCCATCACACATTCAAGTATATAAGCCGCACATCGTTGCATATCTCAGCGCACTCTGAAAAACACATTCCCTGGATCTACATCTACTAGGACGCTTCTGATTAGGCCAGAATCTTCTATCTTTCACCAAGAAGGCTGCCACAGTTCCTCGGTCCGCATCAGACGAGCCCGCAATCGCCCAACACGAATTCGCTCGTCACGAGCTCGCTCGCCGTGAAACACGGCGGACGGCACGATGGTTAGCGCCAAGCGCCTCCTCCTCTTCCTGTGGCTCCTCGCTGCCACGTGTCAATGCCTCTCTCTTCGACGTAAGTGCACGCACCGGCTTACCCGTGATCCAGCGCATGATTTTTGCACCGTACTGTGTTGGCCCAGCCCGCTACCGACTGGGTTAAAAGGGCATGTATTTTGTGGTGGGTAGCGCACCCATTACCCCCCAGGACGAACCTGTAGCCCTCCCACACTCAACTAGGACGATCCCAGTGCCCCTCCAACATACTGAACCGCACATCAACGGAATGCGCCGCAGATGGATGAAGCGCAACGGGCTTTATCACCTCAACCCCTTCTGTACGTGTCCCTTTTCCCCGCCCACAGATATTCCTCCCCACGACCCGGAAGCCACCGCCGCCGACGACGGGGTCTCTTCACTTGCTACTAACGTGGATGGCCCTCTGGACTCCACTACCGGGGATGATTCCGCCTCTAACGCGGATGTCCTCGCAGAGAACCCCCCTACCGCCGTTCCCGTCAATCCCGATGGCATCAGCAATCCTAACTTCTTCCCAGTTTCAAGCGAGTCTGGATCGGCCACCAGTAGCAGTGATAGCACTGCTCTTTACATCGTGCGACTGCATTCCGCGCTCCCGCTCGCTGCCTACCGCGGAGCCGTCGCCAGCTTCTCCGGCTGGGGTGACGACGACGCTGACGACGATACTCACGGCGGCACTTCCGTCCCGGCTGGACTAGCGGCGACGGCGGAGGCGGTGGGACGAAGAGGCGACGGCGCTGGGCGGCAGAGTACCTCGGCGCGCGCGGCTGTGCGCGGACAACCCGCAGGTGGCGGCTTACGCGCAGATGCTCGAGTCGCAGCAGACGCAGATCGCGTCGGAAGTCGGCGTGGCGTCGACCAACGTGGCATACAGGTGAGAATTAAGAATCGCAGTGAATCCAGAGAGTACTTGGAATCAATCGGTCAATTAGCCCTCAGTTTCTAAATTAGGAACTCTCATTCCACTCTCATATCCACCGTGTGAGATGCGGTTTTAGGGTGCAGGGAATCATGTTTACGGCTCTGTTTTCGGCTAGGTTGGTTACGGGGATGAACAAGAGAAGGTCGCCCATGCTGTCGCTTACCCTGCCTCCCCGGGAGGCATTTCCAAAAAGAGAACCTTTCCCATGCCGGCTGCCCGAACAGCAACGGCCCAATTTGTCTTGCTGCCTCTACAATCCCCCCTTGATCCATCTCCCTCTTCCCTCCCCCCGCCCCAGCTACAAGTACTCGACCAACGGCTTCGCGGCGGTGCTGACGGCGGACCAGCTGCGGCGGGTGAAGCGGCATCCCGCCGTGGCGTCGGTGCGGGCGAGCGCGCGGAAGCAGCTCTTCACGACGGATTCGCCCGCGTTCCTCGGAATGAACAGCGCCGGCTCGCTGTGGCCCGCGAATGGCGGGCAGGCGAAGGCGGGCGAGGGCATGGTGATCGGCATCGTTGACACGGGCATCTGGCCCGAGCACCCCTCTTTCAGCGACGCGGGGTTCTCGTCGTCGCGCCCGCGGGGTGGTCGGGGAAGTGCGAGACGACCAAGGAGTTTAAGTGCAACAACAAGCTGATCGGCGCGCGGGCGTTTTACCAGGGCTTTAAGAGCGCCAACGGGATGAATCTCGCCGGTGACTGGCTGTCTCCCCGCGACGCCAACGGCCACGGCACGTGGTGTGCGGGGTGAGTGGGCACAGCGCGGTCGTGACTTCAAGTTGGTACAAACGGTTTCCTCTGCCCGACTCTTTAGAGCATTTGCCGTCCCTGCTGCCCCCACCTCAAGCTCCAAGGATCCTACTGCTTTCCGTTTCAACCGTCCCATATCTTCCGCTCCTCTTCCCCTCCCCCATGCATCCCTTCCCTCCACCCATGCATCCTTTCCCCTCCCCCCATGCATCCTTTCCCCTCCCCCATGCATCCTTTCCCCTCCACCCATGCATCCTTCCCTCCACCCATGCATCCTTTCCCCTACCCCCATGCATCCCTTCCCTTCCCCCATGCATCCCCTGTGCAGCGCTGCAGCGGGCAACAGGGGCGTGCCCATGGCGGGCGGCAAGGCGAGTGGCATGGCGCCAGCAGCGCGCCTGGCGATGTACAAGGTGTTCTGGATGAACAAAGACGGCGACACGTTTGCAGACGAGTCAGACATCATCGCAGCCGTCAATCAGGCCGTGGCGGACGGCGTGGATGTGATCTCGCTGTCCCTGGGCGGCGTGAACCCGATGGACACCTACTTCGATGACATCGCTTTCCTCAACGCCAATCTCGTGCGCCTCTTGCCTCATTGCCTCTCGCCTCATTGCTTCTCGCCTCATTGCCTAAACCATGGTGCCCGCCCTTGCATTTCCCTCCACTGACCTTTGTTTCGCTCTCCTGCGTCTCAAACACTCGCTGAGCATCCGCCTTTTTCACTATACTTCTTGTATTCCCTTCCTTCGGGCAATGCTGCTCTGAAGCAACGTATCAGCACCTATGACCGTCTCCCTCCCTCCTCTCCTACCCTTCTTCACCTGCCCTTCTTCACCTGCCCTTCTTCACCTGCCCTTCTTCACCTGCCCTTTTCTCCTGCCCTTCTTTACCTGCCCTTCTTCACCTGCCCTTCTTCACCTGCCCTTTTTCTCCTGCCCTTCTTCACCTGCCCTTCTTCACCTGCCCTTCTTCACCTGCTCTTCTTCACCTGCCCTTCTTCACCTGCCCTTCTTCACCTGCCCTTCGTCACCTGCCCTTCTTCACCTGCCCTTCTTCACCTGCCCTTCTTCACCTGCCTTCTTCACCTGCCCTTCTTCACCTGCCCTTCTTCACCTGCCCTTCTTCTCCTGCCCTTCTTCTCCTGCCCAGGCGGGAGTGTTTGTCGCCTTTGCGGCGGGCAATGACGGGCCGCCCCAGGGCTTCCGCACCCTTGACAACTACGCACCCTTCTATCTCACAGTGGGAGCCAGTGAGCCGTCTGCCTCACAGTGGGAGCCAGGTGAGCCGTCTGCCTCACAGTGGGAGCCAGGTGAGCCTTCTGCCTCACAGTGGGAGCCAGGTGAGCCGTCTGCCTCCCTCCCTGTACCCAAGGTGCCACCAAGCTTCCCCATACGTCCTCAAGTCTCCCTCCCCCTCCTCCATGTCTCTCCCTCCAGGTCCCTGCCCTTACCCATGTCCCTATGGCCCTGCCCACCTCCCCCCTCGCCATGTCCTGCCCATCTCCCCTCTCGCCATGTCCCTGCCCTTCCACACGCATGACTCCTTCCCATGTCTCCTTGATCCCTCCCGTCCCGCCCATGTCTCTCCCTCCCCACCCCATGTCTCTCCTCCCCACCCCATGTCTCTCCCTCCCCCCCCCATGTTCTCCTCCCCACCCCATGTCTCTCCCTCCCCCACCCCATGTCTCTCCCTCCCCCACCCCCATGTCTCTCCTCCCCACCCCATGTCTCTCCCTCCCCCACCCCCATGTCTCTCCCTCCCCCACCCCCATGTCTCTCCCTCCCCCCCCATGTCTCTCCTTCCCCCACCCCCATGTCTCTCCTCCCCCACCCCCATGTCTCTCCTTCCCCCACCGCATGCTTCCTCCCCCTCCCCACCAGCTCCATTGCCCGAGGGGGCCTGACTCTCGCCAGCTCACCAAAGTCATCCAGGGCAGCAGCTGCCAATGAAACGTCAGTCTCAGCCTTGCCATCAGCAGGCGATTCCGCCCCAGCCGTGACAGACTTCTCCTCCACCGGGCCCTCGTCTTCCCCGACATTGGAACCGGCAACGGCCTCGCCACCGACAGCATCTTAAAGCCCGACATCATCGGCCCCGGGCTGGACCTGTTCGCCGCGTGGCCTGGCAAGCGTGTGGGCGACAAGGGGACGGATGCGCAGCTGTCGGGGACGTCGATGGCGACGCCTCACCTGGCGGGCATTGCTGCTCTCATCATGCAGAAGTACCCTCGTGGAGCCCGGCGCAGGTCATGTCCGCCATCATGACCACCGCCACAACCAAGGGTGTCGGTGGCGCCGCCATCACCGCCGCCTTCGGCAAGACTGCCACGCCGTGGGACATGGGTGCTGGGCATGTGTTTCCCCTAAGGTGCTTGACCCCGGGCTCACATACGACGCCCGGAAGAGTGCATACCTCAACTTCCTGGCTGGGCTAGATATGGAGAGGACGCAGCAGGAGTACCCGAACGAGAATCTCAAGTCCGTGCCTCCCAGAGAGCTCAACCGCCCCACCATTTCGATCACCAGTCTCAAGGGCACGCTGACCGTCACACGGACGGTCACCAATGTGGCTGACTCCGCTTCCACGTATTCTGCCAAGATACAGAAGCCGAATGGCGTGGAGGTTACTGTCAAGCCCAGCAGCTTCACCGTTTTCCTGGAAAGAAGGTTACCTTCGTGGTAACGTTCAAGGTTACCAAGACCTCTAAAAGCTTCCAGTTCGGCAGCCTCACGTGGGTGGATGACAAGGCCATTCCGTGAGGTCTGCTATAGCGGTCAAGCCTGTGCAGAAGTGAACCCAGTCACTTCAAGTCACTTCTGCCCAATAATGATGGGACCAACAAGATAGTGCTGGTTCAAAGTAGCACATGAGAAGTGACCGCCCGCTTGGCACTTGGAATGAAGGCAAGCCTTGTGTTGGATGCAGTTGCTCGTAGTATGGGGCATGATTGAGAATAATTTATTTATTTTCTAGGTTGGAACAATTCCTATCACTATGCACACAAAATTGTGCAGTGCACACATGGAGCGTAATTAAGCACCAAGAGTGAGCATAAAAAGAGTAAGAGCGCTTAAAAAACCGTGAATGGGCATTGTGTATGTTGGATAAAATATTAAGATGGTTTGTCCCACCGTATTATACAATGGGTGAACAAATGTTTTGAAGGTGCGAGTTTATATATCAAGGACATTACTAGAGGAATATGCAAATTTGCAGGATGTGGGGCACGGGCGCGATGGCATTGGGTTTGGTGTTTGACGGTGGCGCTCACCAGCTCAGCGTTTCGCCACCCACCAAACCAGCTCGCTGAACCGCTGCGAAATGCGCCACTCAGTATGCTGCTGATCTGTGATTGCTTGATTCGTTGACGAGATTTACGGCCCCTCCAGCTACAAGAGCAGGCGACATTTGGGCCAAAATCTTGTTTGCCGTCCTCCGTTGTCTGCGGAACTTCTTGGCGCGGCGCGGCTGGTCGCTGCTCGCCACTTGCTGCTCTCTGCATTCTTGGGGACGGCCGCACTGCACGGCTCAGCTCAGGCCAAGCCGCCTCCCTCCAGCACAGCCCCACTTTACGCCAAAGCTCTCTCTGCAATACCATATTGTACCGACCACCAGTCCAGGACAGTTCTCAGCGTGTGCAAGGAAAGGTACTTATCCACCACACGCAGCAGATACGAAGCAAGCTTATTATCCTCTCCCTTGTCCCTTCGACCCAAAAGTCGGTTCGCAATCCCACAGCCAGCAGCATGTAGTGTACTGCAGGGCCACGCCTCAATCTCCTGGATGTCGATTTAGTCGACACGTCGCCCCTCTCTGCCATCCACGAAGCCAGTCAGACTCATCCGCATGGCTGCTCTCGCCCACCTCGCCGTTTCGTCACTGCTGCTGCTGGCAGTGGTAGTAACAGTACTAGCAGCGCCCCCCCAATTCCACGGAGGTGAGCAGCGCCTGTCCGAGCCTCCTTCGCTGCCGCTCGCACGCTGCCGCCTCGCTCTCGGAACCCACACGCCACTCGCAAATGACTGAATTCGTGCTCCTGTCGCAATCCGAATCGCCTTAGAACGCGTGAATCCGCAAGTTTGTTGTTCGTATGATCGGATCTCTCCCCAATCCCCGTCCCACGCGCAGAGTCCCAGCTAGTGGCGCCCTTATCCCGCGACTCCGAATCCGATGCGGAAGCCGCCATGTATATCGTCCGCCTGCGCTCCGCGCCTCCCCTCGCCGCATACCGCGGCGATATCGCCGGCTACCCGGCCATCGCACCGGCCAGCCTTGACGGCGATGGCGATGGCGACGGCGAAAGTGAAGGGGCGCAACTCCCCGCAGTTCTAGTTCAGAAAGAGAAGGGATGTTGGGATGACTACTACTACTAGTAATAGTAGTGGCGCTGGTAACCTGAGCAGCTTCACGTTAGGGAGTTTCGCGCCTGCGCGGGCGCGGTTGAGCATGCGCGCGCCCCATGTGCGCGCGTACGCGGACTTGCTGGCGCGGATGCAGGCGGAAGTGGCGTCGGAAGTCGGTATCGCGCCAGACAGTATCGCGTACAGGTGAGAGACGGCTTGATCTCACAAACACAGCCCCGGGTGCACCAGCACTATCCTAAATCGACATTCAACTGTTTATCTCGAACACCCCAGCTACTTGGGTAGCATCACGCAAGTTGGTTATAACTCCCACTCGTGTCCGCGCCCCCATCAGTTACAAGCACGTGAGCAACGGATTCGCCGCGGTGCTCTCCCCCGCCCAACTCCGCCGCCTCGTCCGCCACTCCGCCGTCGCCTCCGCGCGTCCCAGCCGCCCCTTGCGCGCCGACACCACCGACTCCCCCGCCTTCCTGGGGCTCGTGGGACGCGCAGCCGCGGGCAGCGCCAGGGGCCGCGGAAGCGGGGGGATGTGGCGCACGTTTGGGGGGCAGCAGAGGGCGGGGGAAGGGTGGTGGTGGGGGTGATAGACTCGGGGATCTGGCCGGAGCATCCGTCATTTAGTGATAGGAATTTCAGCGCCAGTCGGCCGAAAGGATGGTCGGGATCGTGCGATGCCACGTCAGATTTTAAGTGCAACAACAAGATCATCGGGGCGAGGATCTTCAACGCTGCATTCAGAGCGAAGCACGGGAAGCCGGATCTGGCCACAGATTGGCTGTCGCCGCGAGATGGATTCGGACACGGCACGTGGTGTGCAGGGTGAGTCAGCATTCCTCTTGCCCCCTCCCGTTCCACGTTTACTCCCATTCCTCCTTTCCTCTTGCGTCCCCACGTTCCCCCGACCCCCACGTGCATTTCGTCCTCCTCCAAATACCCAGCAAACACCACCCCCTGCCGCATCCATCCCCCCCCCCCAACCCCTGCCCCCTCTCTCTTCCCTCCCTCTCCCCCCTCAACACCCCCTCTCCTCCGCAGCGCAGCAGCGGGCAACAGCGGCGTGCCCGTGGCATGACCTGCAGCATCCCTTTCACACCTGTTCAATGATTTCCTCCCCCCCCCCTCCCCCCTCGCAGCGCAGCAGCGGGCAACAGCGGCGTGCCCATGGAGGGCGGCAGGGCGAGCGGCATGGCGCCAGCAGCGCGCATCGCGGCGTACAAGGTGTTCTGGTACGCGCAGGGCGCGCGCCCCGAGATGCGCGGGCTGGGGGGGGAGACGGCGGACCTGCTGGCGGCGGTGAACCAGGGAGTGGCGGACGGGGTACATGTGCTGTCGATCTCTCTCTCAGCGGACGATCCTGAGGCCACCTACTTTGACGACGTGCCCTATATGCATGCCAACCTGGTACGTGGGTTTGAGCCGGCTCCAAGGGCTTTGGGCGGCGAGGGAGCAGGCCGAAAACGAGCCTAGATCGATGCATGCATCCGATCGGACACATGCGCTGCTCCTCTCGCACAACAGCACTTAAAGTTCGAGCCGTAAGGCCACCCTCGCTCTCCCACCCACCATCCCCACCTGGCCTCTCGTTCCCACCCCTCCAGGCAGGCGTGACGGTGGTGATGTCAGCGGGCAACAACGGCGCTCCCCTGCACGGCCCCTGGGCACGTACCGCAGCGTCACCAACTTCTCGCCCTTCTACCTCACCGTCGGGGCCAGGTGAGCCTCTCCCACTCCCCTCCGCCGGTACATCCTCCAGTCTTGCGCCTTCCACCTTACCTCCGAACCAGGTGGGGAGATCGGCCTTACAAGTTGTTGCTCCTCTCCCACTCCCCATACCCTCCTCACCTTCCGCTTCCTCCCCTCCCTTCTCTCCCTAACTCCCAGCTCTCTTCTCCCAGGAGGCGTATCTCACACCTCCCCCTTTCACATCAGGTCCCTCCTGCCCTGTGCCCTGCCATGACCCATTCACTCCTCATTGCCTTCCTCTCCCGTCCCCTCCCTACCCCCGTGCCAGCTCCATTCTCCGGGGAGGTGTATCTCTCGCCTCCTCCCCTTCATCTGACAGCAGCAGCAGCTCTGCTGAGTCAACACAGTCGCCAGCCCCCGCAGCAGCGTCCCCATCCGCCGGCGCCGCTCCAGTCGTGGCGGACTTCTCGTCCTCAGGCCCCCTCCACCGCCCCTGGGCGCTCCCTCCCCAGGCCACCCCTCCAACAGCGTCTTAAAGCCCGACATCATCGGCCCAGGGGTGGACCTCTGGGCCGCATGGGCAGGAACCGTTCCTGGAAAGGCAGGGGGGAGCGGAGGAGGGGGAGGGGGAGGGGAGGTATCGCAGCTGTCGGGGACGTCGATGGCGACGCCTCACCTGGCGGGCATTGCTGCTCTCATCATGCAGAAGCGCCCCTTGTGGAGCCCGGCGCAGGTCATGTCCGCCATCTGCACCACCGCCACAACCAGGGATACCAGGGGGGGACGTATCCTCAATGCTCGTGGTGCTGCCGCGTCTCCCTGGGAAATGGGTTCAGGGCACGTTCTTCCGCCGAGGGTTCTATATCCAGGGCTGACTTACGATGCCAGGGGATGGGCTTATGTTAATTTCCTGGCAGGGCAGGATTCTCGGGCAGCCAAAAAGGAGTTTCCATGGGCGAAGTTGTATCGCAGGAAGCCGTGGAATTTGAACCGACCAACGATTTCAGTGGCGAGGTTGAAAGGGACTGTGGAGGTGTTCAGAGTGGTTACGAGTGTTGCTGGTTCAACTTGCACATACAGAGCAAGAGTGACGGAACCTCCAGGGATCACAGTTTCAGTTCAGCCTGACCATTTTACCATTTCTCCAAGGGAGAGATTCACATACCGCATGGTTTTGAATGTCACCAGACCATTCAAGGGCTTTCAGTTTGGAAGCATTTTGTGGGAGGATGGGAAAGGGCACGCAGTTAATTCTGCTATTGCTGTGCTTGCGGTCTCTAAAGGGAGGTAACACATACTAAATGGGTCTTGTGTATTATGCTTGTGCTATAGTTCTATCATGCTCTTCTTGTATAATGCTAAGTTTGCTAATACATGACATTTTCCATTATACCATTTTATTGCGGGAAAAGTGGATCCTCCAGACAGTCTGGCACGCACACCGTCCAGCAAATCAGGTCAGAGGAGGTCAACGGTAGCGATGGGATTTGAGGCTCCGAACAGTTTCCAAAACAAGCCAGGTCTTTGGAAATGCGGAAAAATAGAGATCTGATGTGGAGAAATCCTGGCCTCTATCTCAAAAGGTTCAGAGTGCGCTTCTGGTTGTGAGAGATTCTCGCTACTAGCGTGACGTGGCTCGACCTCCACGGCAACAGAACAAAACACAGTAGTGTGGCCCTTTTCCCGAGTGAGTCCACCGTGGCAGGCAAGGGGCTCAGCCACGTCTTCGCATGAATTTGATGGCCTTCTTTGGGCCTCAGGGATTTCCGAGCAGCACGATTCCAATTCGTAGTTGGCACATTGCTAATTCTCCGGCAATAAATTCAGAGCACTCCCATTCGTTTTCTAGCAAATTCAACTGAGTAATCAAGCCTTCCAGCCCTAACCAAGCAGCGAAGTTTATAGAATCAATCAGCGTTTTCGCGTCTTGTTCCTCGGGTCCTTGCCTCTCTCGTCACCGACCCGTCTGTTCCGGTTTCGCGTCTTGACGCTCTTGTCGCTGCGGTCGCTGACTTCGCCTCTACCCGCCGCCTTGACTACGCCACCGCTCTGGTCTCCGACCCTGCCTGTCCTCCGTCTGTCGGGGGTGCTCCTGCCCTCGGCAGTGACGTCCTGGAGGACCGTCAGTACGAGCTTGCTATCCTGTCCGAGGCTGCTCCCCATCTCTGTTCCATGCTGCTAGTCCCTAAGGGTGACCCAGACACTTTCGACATCCCGACCCTTCGCACTTACGCTGAGGCGGTCTCGGAACCTTGGGCCTCTCAGTGGATAAATGCCATGGAGCGGGAGATGGCATCTTGGAGATCCACCGGCACCTACGTCGACGCAGTTCCCCCACCCGGGGTGAACGTAGTCGATGGCCGCTGGCTCTTCAAGGTGAAGCGCCTTCTTAGAGAGCCACCTGTCTTCAAGGCGCGCTACGTGGCTAGAGGCTTCAGTCAGCGTGAGCGGGTGGACTTCTTTTAGACCTTCGCTCCGACCCCGAAGATGACTACTCTTCGGGTGCTGATACACGTAGCAGCTCAGCGTGACTATGAGCTTCACTCCCTCGACTTCTCCACTGCGTTTCTTTAGGGCAGTCTACACGAGCAGGTCTACCTGTGCCGCCCTCAGGGTTTTACTAGTACCTTCCCTCCTGGGACCAAGTGGCTCCTGCGGCGCCGCGTCTATGGCCTGCGGTAGGCTCCCCGTCAGTTGCATGACACGCTGCGTGCTATCCTTCCTGACCTGCAGTTCTTTCCGTCCTCTGCAGACCCCTCGCTCTTCGTTCGTGCGGGCCAGACTCCGTGCTACATCCTTGTTTACATAGATGACCTGGTCTTTGCCACTGCAGACTGGGACGCACTGGCCTCGGTGAAGGCAGAGCTATTGAAGAGACACACCTGCACTGACCTTGGAGAACTGCGCCACTACCTTGGCTTGCAGATCTCCAGAGACAGAGCAGCGTGCACCATCACCCTCACTCAGGCACACTTGGTGCGCCAGGTCTTTCAGAGGTTTGGCCTTCAGTCTCCTCTGCACAGCCCACCCCTCTGCATGTAGACCACAGGCTCTCTGCTCCAGTTTCTGAGGAGTCAGTAGAGCCCAGTGGCCCTTACGCAGAGCTGGTGGGTTGCCTCATGTACCTGATGACTTGCACTCGCCCAGATCTCGCATACCCTCTCAGCATCTTGGCTCGCTTTGTGGCCACAGGCAGACACCGACCTCAGCACTGGTCTGCCGCTAAGAGGGTTTTGCGTTATCTTGTAAGTACATCGGGCATGGGGTTAGTGCTAGGAGGGCGCAGGCTAGTGGTCCGTACTGGGCACACAGACGCTTCGTGGGCAGACGACGCCGAGACCCTTAGGTCCTCGCAGGGCTACTGCTTTAGCCATGGTTCAGGTGTTGCCTCGTAGAGAGCTACTCGCTCCTCGTCTATTGCCCAGTCCAGCTGTGAGGCCGAGATCTACGCCGGTGCCATGGCGCTACGGGAGCTCCACTGGCTGACCTTCTTGCTCACTGACTTAGGTGAGCGGCCTAGCTCTGCCCCGGTCCTGTACGCTGACAACAGGGCCATGATCCTCCTGTGTCAGGAGCCGCGACTTGAGGGCAGAGCGAAGTACATCCAGCTACGGTACTTCCTCCCGCGTGAGCTACAGCAGCGCCGCCAGGCTCGCGTAGTACACTTGGCCTCCGGTGCCAATACAGCTGATATCTTTACGAAGGCGCTTGCGCCTAAAGATCATCAGCGGCACTGTGTACAGCTAGGTCTTGTTCCTGTAGCCTCTCAATTACTAGGGCCTTGACTGTGCACAGACCTTTTATATATTTTATTTTGACTGGCCTTGTGGCCTCTTCCAGTGGCTGGACTAGTAGTGCCACCCTTGTTTTGCTTTTGGCTTGGTCTGTACTCGTTTGACTAGTCTTTAGACCCTTGCCTCAGAGGTCGGACTAGTAGTGCCACCCTGAGCTGCTCGTTCTCTCGTTAGGAACTGCTCCTATACAGTGTAGGGGGTGTGTCAAATATATATTGTTATGTTTGTATAGACTGTATAGGTTTGTGTCTTAGAGGGTACAGCTTCTAGGTTATATTCCCTTGTACTCTCCCATTCTACAATCATTCTCTCAGTCTAACACGTTTCACTCTCTTCTAGTTCTTTCGCCTTTACTTTCAGGAATGGCTTCCTCCCTCGTCGCTCGTCAGGCCATCGCCGCCCTCTCCGTCCGCAGCGCCGTCAAGGGCGCCGCCCTATCGACCACCCGTCTCACCGCAGCCCCAGTCGCTCCCCGCGGCTTCGGCGTTTCCGCCCTTCTAAACTCTAGCAAGGCCGCCGTCCCCGCCAAGAAGCAACTGCGCACCGAGGACGGCATTTACGACACGTCGGGAGGCTTCGGCTTCACGAAGGCCAACAAGCTCTTCCTCGGCCGCGTCGCGATGCTCGGCTTCGCCGCGTCGTTCCTAGGGGAGGCGCTAAACTGGCCAGGGCATTCTCTCTCAGCTCAACCTCGAAACCGGCATCCCCGTCACGGAGGCCGAGCCGCTCCTCCTCTTCTTCATCGCATTCACCGTGCTCGGCGCGATCGGCGGGCTCGGTGATCGCGGGCGATTCGTGGACAACGACCCTGTAGGTCCCCCTGTGAAGCCCGGGAGCGTCAAGGCTGCCTTGGGTCTGCAGGAGGAGGGGCCGCTGTTCGGATTCACCAAGGCGAATGAGCTCTTCGTGGGGAGCATGGCACAATTAGGTTTGCGGCGTCGCTGATTGGCGAGGTGGTGACGGGGCGAGGTGCTTTGGCGCAGCTGAACATCGAGACAGGGCTGCCAGTTTAGGAGCTGGAGCCGCTGCTGCTCGCCAGCATCGCTTTCTTCTTTGTCGCGGCTATTAACCCCGGTACTGGTAAGTTCATTAACGACGAAGAGTGGAGTTTTGTGATTCCTTCTTTTATACATATGTATATACATGCGTTTATTACCACATGGAAAATGCGGCTTTCAAACATTATCTTCGTCTTCTCCTGCATCCCAAGTGAAAGAACCGATGTCTCCCTCATTCCCAGCGTGCTTACCACCCTCCATGTGGCAATTGTTATGAATAAACTTACGCCAACAGTAAAGCTCTGATTAACCCCTGCACGCGCTTGTTTGACTGAGCACGTCCTAATCCTATCTGCACTTGTATTACCATATCACCATCATGAAAGGGCTATTTGCGCCACTGCAGAGTTGGGATGAAGGAAGGTGAAAGGTTGTTCAGAAACACAATATATTCACAAAATAATGAATCCCATGAGAATACTATACAGCATGGATGATGCGTGTAACTAGCGCTAGTGGGGAGTACACCCGCGGCAGCAACATCCAACAAACACCGATGCCCCACTGCCTCCCCCCTCTCCAATAGCCACAGGGTAGTGAAACAACACGAACAACACACACAAGAAACACGAGACAGTGAAGCAACCATGGTAGCAGCAAGGCTATGATCCGGCGCTCTCCTCTGGCGGAAGCATGCAGAACAGCGGCATGCCCCACCGCCGCCCTCACGCCTGCCAGCCACTAGCTACTGGCAGTGTGGGACTGTGAGGCAACAGTTAAAGCAGCGGTCAGGCGCTCTGCTCTGGCGGCAGCACGCGGAAGAGAGGCATGCCGTCAGCCACCTGCTGCCCCACCGCCACTCTCACGTCTGCTAGCGTGCCCGACACCCGGGCCTTCACTGAATGCTGCTCGCTCGGTGAAGCCATGGGGGAGAATGGGGGTAGGGAAGAGACGAGGGGAGAGGATAACATAGGTGCTCCTAGGTGCCACCTCACTCCCTACCCCACTCCCCTACACTCCTCCAATTGCCACAGTCTTTAAGGAATCCCATGGGCACGGTGATGGGGATGGTGATGGTGATTGTGATGGTGATGGTGATGGGGATGGGGATGGGGATGGGGATGATGATGGGGATGGGGATGGGGATGGGGATGGGGACAGCGATGTTAGAAAGGGCAGAGTGAGACAGACATAGGAGGAGTAAAGGTTGCGAGGAGAGTTGGTGTACATGGGTGTATCGCACAGATCTGTGTGTAATGAGTCGATTTTTTAGTCGACTCAAAAAAAGAGTTGGTGTACATGGGTGTATCGCACAGATCTAGCTGTGGGAGTCCGCTGTTACTGTCCTGGCAAGACGAGGTGGTCCACATGGTCAAGAAGTATGCAAGGAAGCGCCTCGCCTGCAAGGAAGCCCCTCACCTGCAAGGAAGCGCCTCACCTCCATCTTCATCGACTCTAGAATGACCACCACGTCCCAATTAGTGCAACATGTGTCAATCGCAATGTGGCTAATGTAAAACCAGCAAGAGCTTATTGAGAAAGCCCCACCTCCCAAGGAAGCGCCCCACCTCCCAAGGAAGCG